CCAAAACAAAGACACTGTCCAATTTGTCCATGTCTATAAGTACACTAGTATCACTCTGCAATCAGAGTTAACAGTGATTCATGAAGGTGTCCTCTGGACTACACACTGATGCACTTCTACTTCGCTACCAATACATGTCCATGTTGCGATTTAATAATTTTTAATTTATTTTTAATTTTATTTTTTTGGTATTTTTGATAATCGATTGTTTGTTTTCATAATCGATTATCGAATTTGAGACTATAATCGATCGATTTTCGATTATAATCGATCATCGGGACATCACTATATATATATATATTATACAAGTGCCATGATAAACAGTATTTCACAATGTCAGCTCAGCTACTACTGCACATTAGCATACCTTGCATAATTAAACTATGACAAACAAGTGTTAGCATTCATGTGCTGGTCAACGCATTGACCACATCTCTATATTACTCGTAAAATTAACCGAGCTGCCTGGGCAAAGTAACCCCATCCCCTTAATTCAACTTCCTTAATCCAACACCTGATTCTTATTGGCTCACGATCGATGATTTGCAAATTATCCCAAGCGATGATGTGATGGTTTGAAAAAGCCTCCTGTTAGGATGCAAAACATTAGCAGTACGTCTGAACTTCACGGTTGAGTAGAAATTAACCAAGTTGGCTCTAACCACATGCACCCCTTAATAAATTGTTGCAAAATCAGTCTTACCCAACCGGTCTACATGTGAACCTGACGTCGCTAGTTCTAAAAACACTGCTCAGCTACAAAGTGCCACTTAAAGCCGAGAATCTGGCATCAAATCGCTACTCTCTAGCCTTGTAACCGGTCGCGTCTGCCCAACCTAGCAACAACCTGCCAGTGAGAGTAGCGCAGGACACCACGCTTGGACCGACGAGACAACCGTACGTAGCAGCGACCTCTCTCTCCCCACTTCTCCACCCCCCGGTCACGATACCCGCTTATCCTCTCGCAAGCATGACACGTGAGCATGGGTCACGCTTCACTTCCACTGGCTTGACACGAAAGCATAGGTTCATGTTTCTCTCCTCCCACGAACATATGACATACGCTAGCATGGGTTAATGTTTTCCTCCCGTGGGCACAACACGCTTCCTTCTCTCCCCTTCTGGGGGGAGGGGGTGAAGTGAGTTAGTACTTTTACTTTGTTGGTATATCCCCACTTCCTGGCATTTAATTTTTCCGCCTGCTCCACCTCCATAACATTATCATTCCTTTAAAAAATTCACTTTTTTCCCGATTAAGTGTAACTCTGGAATTGTTAGTAATGCTAATATTTATTTGGTAGCCTGCGAAATGGTAAATAATTGTTACTCAACCGTGAAGATTGGAAACGTGACCTCATGCTGAGTTAATATATCAGAAATATTCTTCAGGCTTTTAATGCAAATCAGCACAGGAAATTTTTGAATGTGCCTCATTTCGAGAGTAGATAACGTGTAACAGAGAGTGTGTGCAAACACTACCTACATATTTCCGGACCGGCAAAACAGCCTCGAGTAGATTTATAGTTACTCACTAGATTATATTATCACCAGCACTTGTGAAGATTACACTTATCACAAACAGAGCACAATACCCTAGCTACCTGCTAGGACCCACGCGTCACTCTAACGTGAATTGATCCAATATCCCACGTGCTCTGTGGAACAACATGCATCTCTCCATCCATCTTTCCCACTGTTTCTGTGATCGCACGGAAAGCCAAGAACCGCAGGGACTTTTGCAAAACAGTATCTCACAGCATCTTCTGCAGGCCCACTCACCAACATTTCACCTACAATAAAACTAAGTTGGGAGCCAGTAGTCCACTTGCTACAAAACAGGGGCCCGTTATCAGAAACATCATAGATAGATAGTAAGGCTATAATGTCAGAACTTTCCAAGCGAAGCATCATACAAAAGTTAGACATTTTCCACCCATGACAGTCATAAATTTATATTTATGGTGTTCTACACAACATACGGCCATACCACTAAGCGTCACGACCATCCATGACATTTCCGACGACGTGCCTTACGTACGCCTACAATGGACCGCAGTCAGGGAGACATCCCCCCTCCCCTCCACCATCCGAGAACTTCCAGCTGCCTATCGGACTAGTCGCTTAACTAAGAGACAGTGAAAGGTAACTCACACTTACAGTCTGAGCGCATGCCCACGGCGAGACACTTCTGCAGCCGGCAGTACTGGCAGCGATTGCGGTGGTGCTTGTTGACGACGCAGTCCCGCTGGCCACGGCACGTGTAGCCCAGCTGCTTGCGGATGCTGCGCTTGAAGAAGCCCTTGCATCCCTCGCAGCTGATGACGCCGTAGTGACGACCTACAACAACGCAGGGGGCGGACGCGTGAAGCCACGAATACAGTCACGCTCTCGTGCAAATACGAGCAAATTTCACATGTGATGAACAAGAAGTGCACAGCTTCGACCCTCACCCTCGCCCTCGTCCTGACCCCCTGACCCTGAATCGCCCACCACTCACATCCCCCAATCCTGACCGCCACATCTGACCCCCCTTAACCCTGGGCCTGACCTTGACCACTGACCCTAAACCCCACCACTCACCTCTCCCAATCCTGAATGCCACATCTGACCCCCCCCCGCCCCCCAACCCTTGGCCTGACCCTGGCCACTGACCCTAAACCCCACCATTCATCTCCCCCGACCCCCGATCACCCACATCTGATCGCTGTCCCCTGATCTGGCTGACTGACGACTCTACTGCTCACCTGATGCCTTGTCGCCGCATACAACACACAGTTCGACGGGCTTCGAGTTGATGAGGGATATCTGCTGCACGAGGCTGTCATCCTGCTGCTGCAGCAGCTGCTTGTTCAGACGCTGCGTCTGCAGCTCCTGCGGGAGAAAGAGGGTGCAGAGAATGAAGCGACGCCAAGGTGTGTTAACGTCACGGAGGACGAAGCTGCGCCAACGTGACGTTAACGTCACGGAGGACGAAGCTGCGCCAACGTGACGTTAACGTCACAGAGAATGAAGCGACGCCAAAGTGTGTTAACGTCACAGAGAAGGAAGCCATGCCAACGTGTCGTTAACGTCACGGAGAACGAAGCGACGCCAACGTGTCGTTAACGTCACGGAGAACGAAGCTGCGCCAACGTGTCGTTAACGTCACGGAGAACGAAGCTGCGCCAACGTGTCGTTAACGTCACGGAGAACGAAGCGACGCCAACGTGTCGTTAACGTCACGGAGAACGAAGCAATGCCAACGTGTCGTTAATGTCACGGAGAACAAAGCAACGCCAAACTGTCGTTAACGTCACGGGGAATGAACTCTCACGGGCCTTTGAATGATTTTCCAGCAATATGACAACTTGCAACAACCATAAAGGTTACAACAGGTAAAAATTTGCCCTCAAATAGAAACAGAAGTGGACGGGATTGGTTGCAAGTAATGTTGAATGCAGTTCAATGAAGAGGGCAATACAGGTAGCTCACACAAAAAAGGACACAAATTGAGTGATTGAGAAGAGTCAGTTTTAAGTTGAGCAACATCGACGTACATTATTAGAAACAAAGAAGTTATACATGGGCAAACTCCCATTATATACTCTTGAAATTATATGTGTAATTTTGTATGTGAAAAGATAAATAATATGTATTATAATTATAAATAATTTATAAACCAAAATGAATCACAATTTGTGACGGAAATGACGCCTACACCCGCTTGATGTTTCGTAGTAAAATCATTTATATCATAATAATAATAATATAATAATAATAGTATAATCATAATATGTCTCATAGCAGAGAATTTTGCAAGTAGATATTGCAATGAAATCTGATAAAAGAAACCAGGACGAGTGTGACACCACAGACTGTTTGTATCTGCGTGCGATATAATATGCTATATTAATTGGCCAAAACCTACCTAAATTGCATTTTTGTTTAAATATCATAAAAACCCCTAGCCTTATTCATTCACAGACCAAAAATAAGCAAATCCGTTGAACCTGAACGACTAATGGCAATCCATTTTCTCCAAAATTGGTGTCGTGCCTCGACAGGGCAACGGGATACGTCACGTCTAGCGTGCTCCTAATAGACGCTTGAACTATATGAGACCAGTAGCAGTTAATAAACGTGCTGTGTGGCAAATTTCCAAACATGTGGGTCAACGGTTCCTGAGTTATCGGTTGCGTGTAGCCAAATGTTGGACGAATGCGGACGGCACGACGGGACGGACGGATGTACAACGATGACGACCCATGGCAAATAGCTCTCAGCTGACGATCAAGGTGATTGCTAAAATCAAGCTAGCAGTTTAAAATTCGTGGGGGGTCGTGCTTTTCTACCTGCCATATACTCAAGTGTATCTATGCACTGGCGTGCAACTGTATGTACAGTACATAACAAGACTGTAAAAGAAGTATCGAAAGTTTGAGACTTTTGTCACTCCTGTAACGATTCGGCCCCCATATTTTTTGCACTAAGAGACCTGACTATAATGTTTAGACTAATTTTGTTTCTGACAACGGGCCTCAGATTATGATCTAGTGTGACTACTCACCCGTGCCTTCGACCAGTCTATCGCCTGTAAGCCCCCACTAGGGGATGTTATCAGCGTTATTGACTGACTGTTGGGCCCGACCACCTCCAGTGTTCGCCCTGCACGATGCTGTGAATAATGAAACCATTGCTAGCGAACAACATCTCTGTGACTCGAGAAGGACGAAAGTGTGTACTATGTATACAAGTGATGTTATTGTAGTATGCACCGAATAATAAACTTAATGAGACATATTAATCTCTTGAGATTTTACTACTGCTTACTAAGGTTTCAGATCAAGCAATGATGATTACACATACAGCGTACTGATTACGCGGCAACCTTAGATGTCTGTGCGGATCCATGGCTCAACGATCACTAGCTTCAATATAGTCAGTACACATATGTACGTATAGTAATTATTAAAATAATTGGCAGAGAATGTTGTTATTGTTTGTATTGTAATACGTGATGATTATTAGAAATTGCTGTATGACATCAGTCAGTGTTGTATTTAGAGATATCATTACAGATACATCGTCGTACGATATTACTAATCTATTGCATGCAATTGCGTGTGGGGGGGTGCTCACTTATTACGCCAGGCATATCACTATGGCAACCCTAGTAATCAGGGCTCGATCGCAGAGCAGATCTAGCGTGAAGACCTGTATATGAACTGGTCTTGTAACTCTGTACACGTGTTATAGTGTAGTAAGAGTAATGATTAGTCTAGTGACCGTGGATGAGACCTGGATTAAATGTTTATTTGTGTTTCTAAACATTTACAAAGGTTTTAGTCAATTAGGCAGTTGTTATTTCAGCTTGTCTTTATGAATTTGACGTGAAAGTGGGAAAAATCGGTTGATAATTTTGGGAATGTAGATGTGATAGAACATGTTCACATCTCGTAAGTGGTGAGACGTGGCTTGGACGAGCTTCTAGGTCAGTGTTGATGGAGATTGCATTTCGGATGGATAGAGCTAAAACTAGGTAGCCATTCATTGCCCTTAGTACATCGTGATGATTGATCGTTCATGGTCTGAGTTTTATGTTCAATCCTGTTCAGGGCTGTTTCACCTTCAGACCATTACAAAAGGTTTCTTTCACGCTGCTCTCAGCAGCTAGAGGGTCGATGTCCCCAAGGTCTGCGGAACTGCAGACCACTGGTACTAAGCATCGCTCAACAACAGTGCACGCAACTGCACGGCAGCGCGGGACATCGAGCTACCACCGTACTACTCCCCACTAACGAGGCTAGGGAGGCGCCTACGCCTAACTCCAGGACTGCTCAATCCTCTAAATCGCCATATCAACGTAGTTAACATAGACGCGTAAGGAATTACGCGCACACCTATAACACGCACCGACAGACCCCAGAACGGACGCGATTAACGCTTCAGGCCCTGCCTTGACTCGCTCACGACTAACAAGGCCCCCCACACACAGCAACCTACTCCCTGTACCTGAGGCTGGCCTGAGGACATATCCGAGCACTATAAGCTAACTCGAGAGTAATGAAACGGCAGACACAACACTGGTAGAACCTACCTACTAGGCTGCTTCGTTACACTACTGCCTCGACCTACAGGCACACCAGCACCACGCACTGTCAACGCCAGAGCACGAGCACCGCATTAGCGTAGCTACGACTGCTATTATCGCAACTGCTAGATGCTGCTGTCCAGCTAGTGACGTCTCGTACAATGTGGCACATGCTACATGCTAGCCTACGCGTCAACGTCATCGGCAAAGCTATAGCGAGCGAACCACTTACCACCTAGCTATACACTGCTGCCTTGACTCCTGCAAACTGACAGGCACGCCACTTGCCGCCACGCATACACCACACCAGCAACCCTACCCGTATCGTAGGTCGTCCGGATCAGGTAGCTCCTGCACAGCTTCACTAAACATGGACATGCAAACACGCGTACGTACAGACGCATCACAATCACAGACAGACAATGCTACACCTAATCTGACTGCGCATTGACTCCTGCTCACTAAACGAGTGGACACTGCACTCACTACGCAGCGCACAGCTACACTCGAGCAGCGAACCATCAACGTACAGGCTGCCTTGATTTCCTGCACGCACTAGCGACAGACCGACTGCACGCAACACTCATCAGTCAGCTCCCGGCTACCTACTACCTATCCCGTAAGGCTGTCTTGTCTAGCCACACATGATCCAGAGCACGCAGCATCACACTTTTTGCGTCTAGCTGACTCACTAAAACTACTAGGGTCTTCTCTGACTACCTGCCAACTCGACAGGATCGCACATGGCACTACGCAGCTTTATTCTCTGACGGCTACTAGCTGTCTGACTCTTTGCGCATGCATCAGACGCACTACGACATCACGACAGCGGAACACACCTAGCCTAGGCTGCCTTGACTCCTGCACACTGACAGACATACCATTTGCATGCGTAGCAATATGATGCATAACATATCATCAGCGACGTAGCGACGCTACTCCTACTAGCTGGCCCTTGACGTACCTGCACAACTAGACATTCCCCCTCGCCCCCCCCGCCTCCCCCCCCCATCTCCCCTCTCGCCCCCCCCTCCCCGCTCTCCCCTCACCTTCCTTACTCTCCCCACCTCCGCTCACTCTATCCCCCTCGCCCTCTCCTCTCCTCCTCTCCCTCGCTCCCCCCCCGCCAGTAGAAAAACACCCCCCCCGCTACCCGCCGCAGCACCCACCCCCCCGCCGCCCTTCCCGCCCACCCGCCCCACCACTCGCTGTGTTACTGCGACGCGTCGCCCCTAAAGCAGCCGTATATTTTTTGCGTATTGAGCGGAACCGTGGCTGAAGCAACCGACGCAAACCTATGTCACAGCGCCCACCGGCCTTCGCGGGCTGCCCACCACCACACCACCCCACCACCCGTCGCCAGTCCCGGCCCTCCGCCAAAGCCCTCCTGCCAGTCCCCCCCCCCCCCCCCCCCCCCCCCCCCCCCCCCCCCCCCCCCCCCCCCCCCCCCCCCCCCCCCCCCCCCCCCTCCCCCCCCCCCGCCCACCCCCCCCCGCCCTCCTCGCGCGCCCCCCCCCCGGCCGCACTCGCCACCGCCCTCCCCCGCCGGGCCACAGCACGCCACCTCCGCACGGCCCCGCCCTCCGCCCACTCGCGCCCGCCCCCCCCACCAAGACCCACCCCCCGCCCCCCCCCCACCAGCCGCCATGCAAACTGTCTGACACGCGTGACCCTCACACACTCACCGCTAGAGCGGAGCCGAACCGGACCTGACAAGTTCACATGTCTCCTAGCCCTCGCGCGTGGACACGGTCACGGTCTGAGCTCGTAGACAGAGCCGTCGGCGATAGGCGGCCAATGTGTACAGTATCTGGGCCGTCCTAGTGTCTCGTGACCTCCCGTCGAATCAGCGGTGTCGTCACCGCCCTCTGTGCAACGAAAAATCACACAGGGTTGAGGCGACCTGCCGTACCCTGACACACAGGCTCGCATGTAGTATCAATAGAGTAGAAAAAGACTTATGCAGGGCTCACGAAAGATTCCCAGCATTACCCCGGCGTCAGGGGAAGAGAGACCGTGCGCTCAGCGTGCGTACGCAGAGCTGTGATGCAGAACTGCGCGGACGGGCCGCACTTTTAGAATTAATCAGTAAAAAATGATGAGTGCTTTTTTAACATGCTTAACACACGCCATCACTTCGGTTGGAATTACGCAATCATTCGCACTTACACAAAGTAATATGTATATATATATAGTGATGGGAATCGGCTGGAATTTCATATATGCGTTATCGGTTTCCCTTAACCAATCGCAATAAATCGATTAGTAATCGGATAATCGGTTAAATAGCATAATTTAATTTAATCCTTAACTTTGGATATACAATTATTACATAGCATTCAATATTATCATGTTTTGGATCATGATTAACGCTGTGAAGGTCTGCTCGTATGTAGATCAATGTGCTGGTGCCTATACAGGATTTGATCAAGTTTGAAAAAGAAATGCCTTTTATTAAGAGCAAAGAGGATTGAATGACTGATAAATCACCTAAATACGATTCTTAAATCGCACACAGTATACATGAACTGTCCATCAGTAAGCAACTGTATCAGCTAAGTAAGTTCGTCGCTCTTTATCGGGTGGGCGGAGGTGATGCGTAAGAGTGTGAAGACGGTGTGGCCGCGCATCGTAGACCGAGTGTACAGATGCCTGCTAAGACATACCTCTCCAACACATTTATGTACAAACAAGTACGTAGTGAGCTATGAATCTCATACTCACGGGATACATCTGTCGGGACAGTGTCAAACCAAACCAAAGATTCACATGCTCTATTTTCCATTGTCTATTACAGTACCTAGTAATCACTCGGCAATCAGAGTTAACAGTGATTCATGAGGTGTCCTCTGGACTGCACACTTGAGCCACTTCTACTTCGCTACCATACATGTCCATGTTGCGATTTAGTAATTTTTAAGTATTTTTAATTTGTATTTTTTACGATTTTTGATAGAGTCGAGTGTTTGTTTTATAACGATTAGTCGAAATTTGAGACTACTAATCTCTGCCCCGTCGCCACGGTATCCGAACATCCTGCTCTCGACGTACTATAGATCGATCGCTGGACGATACTGGTATCTATATCATATAATTATGACAAGCTCGATGGCATATACAGTATTTCACAATGTCAGCCTAGCCTACTAGTGCACATAGCACGACCTTGCATTATTTAACTATCGACTATACAAGGCATATAGGAGCATGTGTTGTGTCAAGCGCATTTTACGACATCTCCTATACTTACTCGTAAGAGTAACCGAGCGCCTGGGCCAGGTCAAAACCATCCCTTAATTCAACTTCCTTAATCAAAAACCTGTTCCTTAATGGCCTCACGATCGATGATTTGCAAATTATCCCAAGCGATGATGTGAGGTTTGAAAAGCCTCTGTTAGGTGATTCAAAACATTAGGCAGTACGTCTGACGTTCAGCGGTTGAGTAGAAATATACAAGTGCTAGAACCACGATGCACCCCTTAATAAATTGTTGCTCAAAATCAGTCTTACCAACGGTTACATGTGAACCTGACGTCGCTAGCTTCTAAAACTGGCAGGCTACAAAGAGCGACTTAAGCCGGAATGTTGCATACAATCGCTACGCTGCCCTAAGCCGTGGGAGCCCCCGGCTGTAAAGGGGTCGGGGCGGACCAAGCTTTAGCACTAACGGACGGGAAAGAGGCGAAGGGGGTAGCGCAGGACACACGCTGGCGGATGAGACCAGACGGACAACCGAGTGTTGGGGCGTGATGTTATAGCGAAGTGGAGTCGCGCGTGGGTTCTCCCACGGGGAGTGGGTGTGGGTTATTTGGGGGATATGAGGGGGGGTCAGGGGGGGGGGTGTGGGGGGTGGGGGTGGGGGGGGGGGGGGGGGGGTGAGCGTTAGTTTTTGGTTTTGTGGGGGTGGTTGGGGGGGGGGGGGGGAACGCTGACTCGCCCTGGCGGTACTAGCATGAACCTGCGAGCGGCATGGAAGGCAGAGCGCAGTCACACGACGACACCGGAAGGGCGGCCACCGCGCGCTCCATCCCCCCCCCCGGGGTGTTTTTCTGTTTTTTTAATGACCTGTTGTGTTTGTTTGTTGATGTTGTTGATTCCTGCTTCTGTGTGTTTTGTTTTTTTTCCGTTTAGTGGTGTATGGGGGAGGCGGGAGGTGTGAGGGGGGTAAAGGGTAAGCCGACTCGCCCTCGTGCGTTACTAGCATGAACCTGCGAGCCGGTGAAGGTAGCGCAGGTCACACCGACGACACCGTACGTGGCGGCCACCTCTCTCTCCCCCCGGGGTAACGCTGACTCGCCCTCGTGCGTTGCTAGCATGAACCTGCGAGCTGGTGAAGGTAGCGCAGGTCGCACCGACGACACCGTACATGGCGGCCACCTCTCTCTCCCCCCGGGGTAACGCTGACTCGCCCTCGTGCGTCGCTAGCGTGTCACTCACGTGTCATCCACTGTTCGGCGTCGTCGTCGGCGCGCACCATCGACGCCTCCGACTGCGTCTCCGGCGACTCCATCCCCCCGGCAACGGTTACCACGGCAACGGGATTTGGCGAGGCCGACTCACGGTGGTGTGTGGTCTGTCACGCCAGCTCCGCTGTGACATAGGTTTGTCGCGGTGCTCACGCCACGGTTCCTGCTCAACACGCAAAAAATATACGGCTGCTTAGCGACGCGTCGCATGTAACACAGCGATTCGTCAACCTTCTCCTATGTCACTCGGACAGAAAAAGAAATACACATAATTGCCACGATGGGAAAGAAAATTAAGAGTGGGTTGGAGGGAGGCAGCAAAATCTACTTCAGGAGTTCTGGTGTAAGAAACACTGCTGCTAATCAATCATATTGGCTACAGTCATGGCAAATTTGAGATCTAACGAGTAGCATTTTAAGTTACACAAGCCGACGACGCACAAAACCTTCCATAGATCTGTCGTTTGGGATAGAAACAAAGATTAAGTAGTAAAAACAAAAACTCTGAGCTGCAGAAGACACGATGTAGAACAGATTTGCTTTCAATCGTTGCCATCAAAAGGTTCTTTCACGTTATGCGAGAGACACGTATCGTCGATTTGCACTTATTAGGGCTGGTAACCCTCCAAACTTCACACATGTCCACGAACAACACAAGTATGGGCTGGTAACCCCTAACCTTTGCCACTTGACCTACACAGCTACATTCCACAATGGTGAGTCACAGCGACACACCTCTTGCGAAAATTAGCTCGACTACGAAAGCCTACGTACACTCGTGTCAGCTATGAATGCCAAGTTCCCCTTATTACTGAGGCTTATAGGGTCTATGTCCCCCAGGGTACTGCCGGAACGTACCCTGGGTACGGTCCGGTATACCGGAATGTACCCTGGTAACTAACTGATATGGTTAGGGTTAGGGTTAGGGAGTAGGCGTAGGCGACTCCCTAGACTCGTTAGTGGAGTAGGCGAGGTACGGTCCGGCATATTAATTAGATAGTACCAGGGTACGTTCCGGCAGTACCCTGGGGGACATAGACCCTCTCAGCCTTACTGAGAGACTTCTGAAGAGAAACCTTTTGGTAATGGTCCCTTGAAGGTGAAACAGCCTATGAACTGGAATTGAACTATAAAACTCAGACCAGTTGAACGGATCAATCATCACATGTAACTAAGGGCACATGGAAATGGGCTCTAGTTTTAGCCTATCACATCCGAATGCATCCTCAAAGTCAAACATCTGACCTAGAAGCTCGTACCAAGCACGTATCACAACTTACGAGATCGTGATAAACTGCAACTACACTTCTACATTCCACGAAAATTATCAACCGATTTTTTCCACTTTTCACGTCAAATTTATAAAGATCAACTGAAAATGAAACAAACTTGCCTAATTGACACTAAAACCTTTGTTAAATGTTTAGAAAAACACAAATAAAACATTTAATTGCCCTGCCGTGCATCCAGGTCAATAGACTAATCATTACTCTTAATACACATATAACATCTACAATATAAACTTAGATGCAACTCATACACAAACTGATACGCTGGAATCCCCTGCGAAATAATAGCACCCCCCACCTGAGCAAAATACACTAAGGATTGTTAGCCAAAAAACCCGCGTCCAGAAATCAAACAGTCGAATCAATAAAAACGATATATATCATACGGACTATCGTACAAGCCACGGGACCACGTAGGTGCGCTAGTACACGGATTCCATTACCATTGAAAAAAACTGACAGTACACACTGCCTGCCGTCACACGCACGCACGCACGCACGCACGCACGCAAGGTCTGAACCTTAGCCACTGCAAAGTGCAAGTGTCATCATCAGTCGAAGCTGTGCAGTCGAAGGGTGCATGCGGTCAAACGATCTGCAATACGGCTGCATCGTGTGACACGAGAGAGGAAGAGAGAGAGAGAGACGGCAGCGTACACCTGGCAGCTAGCCTGTGCGAGGTTTACCCAGGTCACGCCAGTATTGATTTCCGAAAGGTTACTAAATGTACTGTTTACATGCTGCCTGCAGCTCTGGTTAAAGGTCATAGTTCCCACATCCTTGCCTCTCTACCAGTACCACACCTCTCTCTCTCTCTTTCCCTCATACACACAAACACACACTGTACTATTAACCTCTCTAGAGTCTACGGTGAACTATCTCTCTCTCTCTCTCGGTGTGTGTGTGTGTGCGTGTGCGTGTGCGTGTGCGTGTGTGCGTGTGCGCGTGTGCGTGCGTGTGTGTGTGTCTGTGTCCCGCGTCATCCACGTAAACATACAATAGTTGATACCCCTCACGTTGATAAGCCAATTCGAGTCATGTTAACAACGGAAGAGGTCAACCTAAAATTTACTTAAAACTTTCTTCGATACGGGATTGATAGCTACCAGCCTACCGATCTTCGGGCTACATCACCGAGACGAATTCGGCGAGATGCGAACAACGTTACGTAATCGTTATGTGATCGACCTGCAAAAAACGACCTGCCAACGTAAAGTCGGCGGCCAGCAAGCCAGCAATCCAGCCAGCCGCAATCACACAGCGAGTACTAGTATGAACTTGAAAACCCCGAGACCGATACGCAGCGATAATACCGAGGCTGCTGCAGCTGCTTTAATCGGCAGGAAATCAATATAGCGGTGAACTCGGGTGAACTCGGTGTAGCGGCGACATCTCAGCCAAAGGTCATGCAGACAGTCAGCCAGCCAGCCGGCGGTCTATAGCGGCTTCTCTCTCTCACGAGAGCACACGTCTGCTAGCACACACAGCAAGCAGGCTTCACACATGTAGAGAGAGGCGGGCTGGCTGCAAGCACACACACACAACAAGCAGGCTTCACACACGTAGAGAGAGGCGGGCTGGCTGCTAGCACACACACAGCAAGCAGGCTTCACACACGTAGAGAGAGGCGGGCTGGCTGCTAGCACACACACAGCAAGCAGGCTTCACACACGTAGAGAGAGGTGGGCTGGCTGCTAGCACACACACAGCAAGCAGGCTTCACACTCTAGACAAGGAACAACACCCCCCACGATGCTGAGCTGATGTTCAATTCCTCCTCCTCCGCCGTGGAGACTTGGTAATTACTTAGCACCCGTGAATGTTACATGCGAACGTGAATTCATGAAGAACTGATGGATACACACGCACAGCCGTCTCCATTTAGCGGATCCAGCAAATAAAACGAATTCTGGTCGTGGGAGTTTGCGAATTAGTTTAATTCTCTGACGGTGCATTTGCACTTTTCCACGCTGTATGAAGACCTGGCACAAATCATTTGAAATAAATCTAGGTCGATGCAATGAGATTGATCATTAATAATTTCAGATGAGCTATGTCTATGCAAAACTATCATACTCTGATCTGTGTAGCATTTCAACTTGTTCTTCAACAAAATTGGGAATTAATATATATATATATAGTCTTGAAACTAGAATGCTAACACTAAACATATAACCAACCAAAAGCCACAACCACCCTAGTACGCAATTTAGAGGTTAGATCCTCAAGTGGTAAAAGTCACCAGTAATTAGTATGGGAGCTATATGCCTACAAGAAAAAAACCTAGCCAACTCCCAGTATGACATTATCTTTACAGGGGTAGAAATTAACTTTTTAAGTAGGGAGTCCAACTCAAAAAGAGAGCCAGAGTCCGCAGCAAAATGAGGGAGTCTGCAGTCTGAAGTTCAAAACTAAAGATATTAACAATAACGTGTTGAACATTGCAGGACATTTGCGGTGCACGTCTGCTAAATTCTCTTGGGGACATTTGATGGAAAAATACGATAATTCCACGAGACCATGCTGTGGAACGAACTAGTTAGTCACTGTTAGTGCATATAGCAGAATTTTCAGGAAGTCACATGAACTCCTGCATATATATGTCAAATCAGGGAGTGTGAAAATAAATTAGAGAGTATTTGACTCCGGACTCCCGTTAGTTTCGCACCCTGCCTTTATCTATAGGATAGCACTCACTCACACACGTGTAGGCATAGCATTGGGTCGGACTGCACAAAGATCCAACCGCAAATATATATCACATGTGCTGCGTGCTGATACATCCATGTTAGTCATCGAAATGAATACGCCAATTTGCCACAATGCAAAATATGACCAAATCAACTTACAAATAGATTTCATGTTCACACATATCTACAGGCAGTTTTTTTCAATGTAAGTTGCCAAATTCACATTATAGACGAATAACCATAAATGAATAACAATTAAAACATGTCAAACACTAAATTAAAGATACCATTATCATAAGCTAGCTACCTTCACCACCCACGTCTCATAACTTTCCAACTCACACGCTGCCGCATCGCTTCTTCAGCATATATATATTACGCATCCTTCCCACATGAAGTGTGCCGTGATTAACGACAAATCACGTGCCATAAGAACCACATTGCTTTGCTTTAAAAAATCCACATAAAATGTCAATATGGACCGACGATTTTCCAATGCACACCGCCCAGGGATGTGAACGTTTGTGCACGCGTGCGTGAATGCCGGCCGAGCATTTTTGTCATTGCCATAGTTACCAGCTGACTGCGGGTGGGAGCAGGAACTATATGGGCAGCATGCTTCACCACACGATGAGCGCAGCTGAACGCTGGAGGTAGCTGCTATGAAACCATAGAAACAACACTCGGAATCTGCTTACAGCTGCTCCATAGTAACACGCACCGATAGAGAATTACAAGTTAGGGCCATAATAAAAATATTGTTTGTTTGCCCTCACCCGACGGACCGGCCAAAAAGGGGCAGACTCAAAATTTTGTATTGATCTTTCCCATTCTTTTTTTTTTTTACAAATTGTATCACTGTACATTATATAATCTGTAGGCAATACATTATATGTACCAAGCAAAACAAACATTCAACATAAAAGGTATCTCCACACAAGCACACCCGAGCATGTAGACACCATGCTGAATTTGTAATTTATGAAAGTGTCAATGACACTGCAGCTCACCACAAAAAAAGGACACAAATGAGTGAGTAAGTACTAAGAAGAAGTCAGTTTTAATTGAGCAACCATCGACGTACATTATATAAACGAAGAGTATATATGGGAGAACTCCCATTATATACTCTTGATAATTATATGTGTAATTTTTTATGTGAAAATAAATGTTTGAGATGTGAAAGTCTGAGATGTGGGCGAGTGATGTCGTTACACCTAAATGATCGCCATTTAACGTTTATATAATATTTAGATTTAGGCACTGCCTAAAAGCGGAGCTCCCGATGCGTAACGTGTAAGATTGAGAGGATACGCTTATTCCACGTAGCTGCTATATACCACGTGACAATGGTGTTTCCCTGCCCATAACACAACTTTTGTCAAAGGTTAATTAGTTGCATGGAAGTGTTTACTTCGTATGAGTTTTTGTAGGCAGTAGCACACAATTGCCATCTGTATATCGCAATAATAATTTATAAACCAAAATGAATCACAATTTGTTACGGTAGATGGCGCTACACCCCCTTTGATGTTTCTTAGCGATGGCGTTCGAAATAAATAGGTTATGCTGCGTTCCGACATGTTTTGTAAAACTTTACTCTAATATAGACGTTTTATCGGCAGGGTGGTGAGGAAATACCAATTTTGCATTACAGATATTGTCAATGAAATCTTGTAAAACGAACAAGACGAGTGTGACACCACAGACTGTTTGTTATCTGCGTGTCTATATAATATGCATATAAGATTGCCAAAACCTTCCTAATTTGCATATTTTTTTTTTTAATATCAAAACCCCTAGCCCTTATTTATTCACATACCTAAAATGAGCAAAATCCGTTGAACCTGAACTGACTAATAGCAATTCCCATTTTTGCCTAAGAATTGACGTGGCTCGAAAGCACGTCGACTGGTGTGCTCCAAAATAGGACGTTCAATATGGGAGCATAGCAGTAACAACTATACCCAATTTCAAACATGTGGGTCAAACGGTTCCTGAGTTATCGTTGACCGTAGCCAAATGTTAAAGGAAGGACGGTCGGACGTACGACGGACAACGACCCATGGCAATAGCTCAGCTTGACGATGTCAAGGTGAGCTATAAAAAAAGCCTACCTACCTACCCAAACCTTTCAGCCTAGGTTTGTGGCCTAGTCAGTCCAGTGCAATCACTTAACACTCAATATGTTGTGTTTTTCTCTCTACTCCTACTAACTGTAGACTACATTAAATAATTAGTTAATTTTTACCTACCTTTCTATTTTTACATTAACTTTCACGCTCTCTTGCTCGCACTCTCTCTCTCTCTCTCTTTCTCTCTCTCTCTCTCTATATATATATATATATAATAATAATAAATTTATCGAGTTGCCTCATCATCCGTCGGGCGCGCCCGAAATCGTGGTGAGTGTGTTACTCATCATGACTTTTTCGATTGCTAGGAGAACATTAGCGGTCGCAACTCCTGCTAATGTATACGTTTCCACACTCTATCTCTTTCTGCCGAGTGCTAAGCAGAGAATCAGTGAGTGTGTACCATTTTTCAAGTCTTTGGTATGACCTGGCCGGGATTTGAACCCCCGACCTTCCACATGCAAGGCAAGCACTCTACAAATTGAGCCATCGCTGCGGTCTTGTTAACAAATAATATATTACGTATATAATATATATATATATATATATATATTAATAGTATTTAGGTATAAATATAATTGCACTTTTGTGATTAGCCTTCGATCTGTAACGTGCAAAATAAATTGTCAAATGCACAACTATTTCAGGGTGGCAGCACAATCATGCGGTGTCATGTCAGCAGTCAAAAATGAAGAATTCGAAATTCACTATTGTTTTATGACAAACGTGAATGCATAATTATAGAAATTTGTAGGTAAATGTTATTATTTATGAATCTACTATCATAATATACTCTTAAATTCTAGAGGAAAGTATCCCTTTAAGTCCACGATTCTTTCTTACTAACACTGTAACACTAGGCAATATTCACACACTCACACAGGGCGCGAAATTAGCACCTGCCCAACGGCATATGCCGGCAAATTATTTGGAGGGCCGGTAACATTGGCCAAATGCCAGCTTGGAGCGAGGTTTCAGCCGTGTTAGTGAGTACCTACATTTTTATTTATAGCCTACATTATTTTTAGCAAATAGCCTACATTACTGTTTTACCTGAAGGATATCACCGTCACGTCATAACTTATTAAATAACATTTTACAAATTTATTTGAAATCGAGAATGCAAGAGTGAAACATGACATTGATTTTACAAACAAATTTGCGAGGGCTGGTAAATTATGGTGAAGGCTGGTAAAAATTACTGTTGCCAGCCATCTGGGCCGGTGCACAAAAATCTGAATTTCGTGCCCTGCTCACATTTCAATTCTAGTGTTTCTGCTACGTAATTTTGCTGGCTCAAGTTCATGATACTATATACTGATTATAATCACCTAACTCAGTAACATTCATTGGTGCACTGGATAGGCCAATTAGCTATTTGGCCTAACGTTAGGTTACGTTTAGAAAACTTGGCCATTCAGTATTTCGCTGCAATAATTCCCAGTTAGTGTTGCACGAAAGGTCGTTTTCGTAATAGGTACTACAGATATGTACCCGAGGTAGTTTTAGGTTGTTTAGTATTATGTTTATATTTTTATATGAGGTATGTTTAGGGTTAGGGTTAGGGTTAGGGTTAGAGTTAGGGTTAGGGTTAGGATTAGGGTTAGGGTACACTTCTGTAGTACAAGTCTGGTACACTTTGTGTATACATATATATTACCAGGGAAAAAAATATAATTTATTTTTCGGGGGCTACTTTTCAAGCTCGCGTGCATGAACATAGCACTTTAAAATTTGGTTTGCATTGAACTCTATGCAAATTTATGGGGGCTCTTTTTGGTATTTCCGGGGCTCTTTTTGGTATTTCCGGGGCTCTTTTTGGCATTTCAGGGGCTAAATCGCCCCGAGCCCCCGTGTATTTTTTCCACTGATATGTACCTCGGGTACATATCTGTAGTACCTGTTACGACAACGACCCCTTGAGCGTTAGTGTTGCCTAATAGAGACTATTAGAGTGCAACTGTGTTAGTGTCATCCCAGCATTTTTTAGACATATATGTGTATTTTGTGTACTACTATGTACTGAGCACGGTATCACTGACACAGTGTCACTATGAGATATTTAAAAACAAAACAACATTGCTGTAGCAAAGTTATCACCCAGAATCATTTTTAGGTTTGAATTTTGTTCCAACTTTCTAGCATTCAACCACAAGTCTACTACTATCATTTACTGTTGTATTTGTAGTAGAATGAAGTGGTGTTGGTAGGGGAGCTCATTTTTGACAGTTGGTAGGCCTACGTATAATTATAATTAAAAGCTGTGAAATTATAAAAATATGAAAAAATACATTTTTTAACATGACATGGAAGTGAGTAGACAAACTAGTACTAGCAGTGTCTGGTGACAAATGTGTTCAGAGTTATGCAACTGAGTGGCTGGAGTAGGTACTAAGGTAGGCAGCTGCAACACTCCATTTCAAGAGATAGAGTGAATTCGGTGAATACAGAGATAGATAACGGCTACGGTCCGTTACGGATAGTGATTACCATACATAGGCCAGACAGTCTACTAATAAAGGGAGGTGGAATGCACACACAGCAATATGCCCTGCATTTACGCGAAGCGGCAGAGCGAGACGGTTGCACCGGACGTGATACAGCAGCGTCAGCTTGCCAATGGCACGCTGTGGTACTGCACACCGCTCCTGTGCCGTCCATCTTAGCTGCGATGCAGCAAGTCAAAGGTTGAAGGTCACAGACATGTCCAAAACATTGAAGGCGTTGCAACATTATAAACATGCTACCTAGTATACTGATACAAGTTGGCACGCGAACGTTACTAAAACAAACACATTAGGTATTTCATAATAATGCTTAACTGTAATCCAACTATGCAATACATCCTATCTAATTCAATAATGTTGATCCTGAATGTTGATCATAGCCGATTGCCATTGCGCGAAACAAATCCATGTGTTCGCGATAGCAAAAGCAATTTAAAGGCTAAGTTTGGAGCCAAATCTGAATCTCTTACAATACGATAGTTAAAAATTAATCTAGCGAATGTATTCCTCAATAATTCTGAATCATAATAATAACAAAAGACCACTGAGCTTACCTAGTAAAGCCAAAAGAACAACGAGATCGACCAAAACAACTTCTTCTTCAGTCACAAAGGTCATAGTTCACGACCTATCGTTGATGACGCTCTAAACCGAACGTGATGATTGGTTGAAAATGAGGTCATTTGCAAATCTCGCGTCTCGCGAGAAAGGTGAAACAGGCACTCGGTGATAAATGGAAGAGTAAAGTTAGTTATTTTTTACCGGATTACTGAAGCGATGTTTAACTTTCATTTCGAGTGCGTGGATTCTTGAGTAGATAAATTAACCATGAGTTAAGCCGAGATGTAGCTTGAGATACATTTTGATGTCAGCTTGTTTAATGTAACTGCAGTTTCTGTACCCATGTACACAGTAACACACGGCTCAGGGATAGAGAACATGAACAAAGAACACCCTCACCAGTACCCCTGTTGAGTTTAAAGGGGCTACCCCCACATTTAAGAAAATGCCATAGGTTTGAATGGGCGGTGCAAATACACTTTATGACGTCCAGTATGGCGGCGCAGTATGGGGGCGCCGGTGCAAATACACTTTATGACGTCCAGTATGGCGGCGCAGTATGGGGGCGCCTAACCCTAACCCTAACCCTAATTCTAACCCTAACCCTAACCCTAATTCTAACCCTAACCCTAACCCTAAACCTAACCCTAACCCTAACAATAACAGTTGTTAGGGTTAGGGTTAGAATTAGGGTTAGGGTTAGAATTAGGGTTAGGGTTAGGGTTAGGCGCCCCCATACTGCGCCGCCATACTGGACGTCATAAAGTGTATTTGCACCGAATGGGCTACATGTTCTCTATCCTTGAACCGTAACACACTAGTGACTAGAGTCCCTTTATTAATAGGCTGTTGCTCCTGCAACGGTACCGTCGCCGATTTTTTCTCTCTTAAAGTCACGGTAGTGATGCCAGCGCCATCTATCGGCGAATAATAACTACCGTTGCTTTTGGTACGATATTATATATACGATTTTATACGATATATACGATAACCCTAACCCTAACCCTAACCCTAACCCTAACCCTAACCCTAACCCTAACCTTAAATAGATAAAATTTAATTTTTAATTGTTAAAAATTAATTGTTGTTATTAAAATGTTGTAAAGAAATCATTAAATATTTGCGTTAATTGAAAAAAAAGTTAAACAGATAAAGATAGAAAAATACAGAAAACAGGAAAATTAATAGAAAACGGATGGGATTCGATCCTACGACCATTCCATACTTGGCCGCACAGCGTTGTAACCGTTACGCTGCTGCGACAGCATTGAAATTAAAATTTTGGATGTGCTATGTATATCGCGCGGAAAACAAGCTCAACCAATCAGGCGTCAGTACCGTCATACCGGTGACTTTAAGAGAAATAAAATCGGGCGACGGTACCGTTGCAGGAGCAACTCCTTATTAAATAGGTAGTGTCTAAAGACTAAACGACCCGGACCGGTTTCGGAGGCCTGACAACTACAAACCGCACTCTCTTCTCTGATTGGTCAGTTTCGGCGAAACATAAACAGGACAAATGATAA